TGATGAGGCGATAATCAGATGAAGGGGCATTTCCCCAAGAGGTGAGAGAAAGGCTGCTCCTCATGGGATATCAGTGTGATAATAACTTGAAAATGGGGGTTTGGAGCAGTGTCGGCCTTCAGCTCTGCGGAGAGACCAGAGGGGAGCCAAGAGGAGAGGCAGAGCTTGGGAGAAACAAATCCTCCCCGAGCCCGGCTCAGCAGAGCTCTGCCCTTTGGGAAGGGAGGAGACAATGCTCAGATACACCAAACCCCTGAAAATAGCAGCTGGAGCCTTGCAAGCTTCGCATTTCCATCATCCATCCCTGCCTTTGTCCTTCTGGATGTGTGAAGGTGCCTGAACCAGCCCTGTAAACCCCATGATCTCCAGCTTTCCTGAGCCTGCAGGCAGATACCCCCCACCCCAGGCTTTGGAAACCTGCTCCTAGTTTTGTCCAGGGAGGCAGGGAGAGGGAACATGGAACTACCACCAAGCTCCTGCCTTCCCTCATGGCAAAACCCCACGGCAGCTGAAGCAACGACTATTGTTTGGTAGTGATATAAGGAGAGAAATCATAGAATGATACAATAGTTAGGGTTGGAAAGGACCTTAAGATCATCTAGTTCCAAATCATCATCTCTATGGGGCTGGGTTTGGTTCTTTTAAAGACTTGCAAACCCCACACTTTTGTCTTCACTTTTATTTCATGTTTTCCTCCTTGAAGCCAGGCTGGGTTTATTTCCCCGCTGTTTTACTGGGAGGCAAACCTGAGCAGCACAACCGGAGCGCTGAGCTTGAGAGCTCTCAGCATCCTATTTCCTACTTGTTACTTTTTCCATTTCAAACCCAAACACATGAAGACAGGACGTCAATGGAGAGCTGGGATTTGTCAAGCTGGGGCTTTAAAGCAAGAACCAGAAAACCTCCCGTTTACACCATGAAAACCAACAACGTGCACCTCATCTCCAAGAAATTGCACCCAAAATCAGCCCCAGCCCAGCCCAGCTTCACGCTGTTGTCTCCCTTCTGGTTTTTTTCCCCCTTGCTTGTGGAGGAGTCAGATTTTCCGAGCGTTAAAGCTTCACTTTGTGCTCTTTCTTTCCCTTCTTGTTTCCCAGGACAGGCTGGCAGGAGCATCGCAGCGCTCTCTGGAGCGCGCCCGGACGCATGCGTGCGCGCGCCTGCCGAGATTTATGAGTCTCCAAAGATGCTTCATAAACTATTTACAAAGCAGAGCTTCGGGCGTGAAGGTTTCACTCGGCCACGAGGGCTGCCAGGCCTCCGGGTGGGCAGGAGAGGGGAATATAAACAGACCTTTCTTTCAATTCCCCAAACCCCCCCCCACACAGAGCCTTTGTGGGTCCAAAGCGGTTTAGCTACAAGCACAGGAGCTTGTGCCCACCCTCACCATGGGCTTTAGGGAGTTTCAGCCTGGTTTTCAGTGAAAAAAGAACTAAAAATCATCGTTTTCCTGGGCAGACTGGGGTGGGAAGGTAGTGATTTTAAAAGACAGGCATTTCCCTGTCAGGGACACTGATGCTCTGCACCTTAAATGCCATAATGTGCCTTAAATGGGGGTAATGTGCCTTCAGTTATAATGACATAATTCTAATAGGTGCTAATTTGGGGTAATTGTGTTCAGTGGGGTCAAATGGAGGGGGTCATGTGTGTTAACTGGAGGTAACCCATGTTCACTGGGGGGCAGCACACGTTAAAAGGGGTAAATGCACTTTTAAAAGGGCCAGCGCCTGTTCAATGGGGTTAATCTGTGCTAAAATGGGGCTTCAACAGCAGGTCCCTCCTTGGCTTTCGTCCCCTGGGGAGCTACTGGAAACCAGTATCAGGGAGAAGGAGCTGGGGTGGGACTGGAGGGCGTGCAGCTGCTGGGCCCAACGCTTCCATTTTCCACTTCGAAACACGTTTGTGTCCTAAACTTGGCTGGGCTTTCAAACTGCAGCCTTTCATCCAACCTGAAACATCATCCACCATCGTCATTCTAATGGGAAGAGCAACAAACCCCTGGCCAATGCTGCTGCCGCCTTTGAGGTGTTTTCCATGTCAAATAAAATATGCGTCTAACCTCAGCACTGCTTCCAGAGGAGCAACTGAGGCTTTTTTTTCTGGCTGACCTTATCAAAACCTTGCCATTTCTTTCTTTTTATATTTTCCTTGGGTTTTTTTTAATGCGATTTGGCCAGACTTGGCGTGTCTTCGAGCCAACCCAACTGGAAGCACCTTCACAAGGAGGGGTAGCACAGCCCCATGCAGGCAATGTCCCAGATCATCGGTTTCATCAATATAGTTTTGCAACAGATGAAAATGGAAGAAATGGAGCTGTTTGCAGGTGTGCAGGGAGGTTCCTAAAAGAACCTGGAACATAAAGGCAAGCTCCTGCCATCCTTCAGCCTGCTCTCCCATTTCCATCCCCATGTTGAGGCCGTAACGTCACCATCGCTTACCCATCAGTGAGAGACAATACGTGGCAAGAGATCAATATAATCCTTTTATTTTCACTTTGTCGTGAGTATGGAACAGCATCACACCCGCGTTTATGGTTGCTTAAAAAAAATACCATCAGACTGCTTTGCTTCTCCCCCCAATGTTCTGAATAAATGGTAAAAACGTCATAAATGTAAACTGCACTTGGCACCACTGGATCAATAAATAAAGTTAAAAAACAAAGAAGAGAGAGAAAGACAGGGCGCGTTACGTAGATGGCACGCTATGGGATCTAAATAAATAACATAAGTTACTTCCAATAAATAGAGAGTATCGAAAATATAGATGCATTGCATCAACCTCTGCAGATGGTCGGTCAGACCCGACAATACCAGAAGGGAAACGGGTTTATCCGGATGGTGCCGAGCGGAGCCGCGGGCTGGGCCGTGCGCTCCTGCCCGGCTGTGAAACCAGGCTCCTTTTTGTCCTGTTTTTTCCTTGTTTGCTTTTATTTTTCCCCCACTTTTTAATCCCCCCCCCAATCTCTTGGGCCTCAGACTGGAGGCTACGCCTTGTTGAACCGAGAAGGAAAACATGTGGTAGCCCTATTTACCAAGGCAAGAAGGCTGAGGTTTTGAATCCCGCTTGATAAATTGGGAAAGTGATTTCTTCCCAGCAAGTCTCTGGACCTGTTTAAATAAGGAACGTTCCCTTTGCAAGTGCGTCCATGGAGTGGAAACAATGATGTTAGACCCGTTTCCCCCTCACAGATACCAAATCGGGAGTGAGACCATGTCAGCAAATGGGATCCCAATGGATGCAAGTGATGAGTGGATCCGAGCCAGAGCCGGAGCCCCGGTGCTCCCGCCGCCCCGGCACCGGCCAGCGTTACACAAACACAGGCTGTACGTAGAGCAACGTGTAGAGTAAAACACAATGAGACATCCCATAACTCCCTGTCGCAGAGCCAGGATAACACAACACTCGTATTTCGCGCTGTCACAACCATGGGGAGAGTTTTAAACATCTCCTCGTGTTTCCAAACCTCCCGATTTTTCCAGCCCTGTGAAGCCCCCCTCCTCGCCTGGGGAGGGATGCCACCGCAAACAGCAAAGCTGCAGCAACACCGAGGCAAGCTGCAAAAAACCCAACCTAAACCCAACCCCATGCGGATGCTGCACCCCGTTTATTATGATTAACATTAAATAACGCATGGGATGCGGAGGAAGGAGCCAGATGCGATTTTGTTGCATCTTTGAGCAGGGAATTTTCCGTCCTTTGCTGCCCTTTCTGCATTGTAGACATTCTTCCGGACAGCTCCAGCTCCTATTACAGCGGAGAGGGCTGTAGAAATGGAAAGCATCAGGGAAATATCAGCCTTTCGATTGGAACCACATTTCCATGCCCAGGCGGCAGCGAAGCGGCGCGGGATGAGCAGCGCTCCTGCGGTGGAGCCGCAGCAGCTCCACGCGGAGGATGGACCTCAGTGAGATGCACGAGAGAAGACACACAAAGCAAAAGCCATCCTTTGGCCACAGCCGTGATGCCCCAGCTGACCCCAAGACCTGGACAGGGGAGTTTTGCAGTTACAAATCCCAGCTGCATCCCAAACCCCAGCTGCATCCCAAACCCAAACGTGCAGGCGCAGCCGCGGATGTCAGGCGCTTCCCCTATTCCTCTGGTGCTCAGCTGCTGGCGGGTGAAAGGGAAAAGGAGGAAAAAATAGATGAATTGGAGCCACTCGTGTTGGTCTGCAACACACACATTGCTCTGGGGGAGTTCCCAGCGTGCCTCTTTCTTTGGGGTGCGAGCTGCATTTACACTGGGTCCCTGATCCCTTTGCCTTTGATCCCTGCAAATCGAGGCACCCTAAATCCATTCCCCAAGCAAAGGCTCCAAAGTCTCCCAGCCACCTCCCTGTGCTCCGGGTAAGAAAACTCCAGGCAGCCGGGCTGCAAACCCTGCTCCTGCAGCACCGGGCCCTGCTTTGCTTCTGCAACACCTTCCCTTGCTTTATTGCCCTAGCTCCTTTTGGTTTTTTTTCCTACTACAACAGAACTAATTTTAGTTTTATAGTAGTGAGAACTGGAAAGCACCCAGGCCCTTGAGAGCGCAGTCAGGATTAGTACGTTTGGGTGCATTTACTCTGTTAAAGCCAATAGCGAGCCAATGGCTGTCCCCATCCTTCTCCCACTGCTCCTTGGGCCAGCTTCTTCCTTTCCCTGCAAGCCCTGTGGTGCAAACTCTCCCTTGCGGCATGGACCACGCTTGTCTGCTCTCAGCAGCGTTTGCATCCCCGTGGTACAGAATCACCAGCCCTTGTTGGCTCCCCAGCACGGATGCTCCCCATGCCTGTGGCTGCCTTCTCCCTTCCCCAGCAGGAAAACTCTGTGTTAGGGAGCACAGGCTGCTTTCCCAGGGGTGCTGGGTGCGCGGCCAGCCCTGCTGAAGGATGCTGTTTATGTTGCCTCACTACATCCTGGCTCTGCTCAGCCAAGAGCTGCGTTGGGATGAAGAAGCAGGATCAAACCCACCAGCCCGGCCCTTTGCAGAGGTTGGGGTAGCAGGGAGAGCTGTCTCCCACCCCACTCTGCTCCCTCGGCTGCTGTGGTCACCTATATGAGGACTCCTCCTCATCACTACTGCGCCGGGATGGAGGCAGATGGGCCATTGAGTCCCATTTAGCCGGGTGGAGGAGCTGGGACACTGCTGCGATCAGGGGGTGGCAAGCAGAGCCCTTTTCCCTCATGTTGGTTAATGCCCAGGACATGACACCAATATTCTCCTTCTGTTTATGATTTGCTTTTTCTGGGAAGAGGGCCAAGGGGAGAAAGCCCATCAATCCCAGGCAGCAAATATAGCCTGCCCCGAGGACGCCAAAGTCTGCGGTCTCATTTATTTCTCCGCAGAGTAAACAAGAGTGACACTGCTGTAAATGTGAACCGGAGCCAAAGCCCAGGATGAGCCCCCTCTCCCGCAGGATTCCAGCCCCACCGATGGGCAATACTCACGTGCCATAGCCGGGAGAGCCCGGTCCGGCTCTGCGTGATGCCGAACCAAGGATGCTCCTGCACCGGTGGCCTCTCGAGGCTCTGTCACCGGCAGGGTGGCGGCAGGGCTCCAGCCCAGCTGCCCGGGCTCGAGGTTAATCCAGTTACTTCAGACCAGCGTAAGCTTTAAAAAGAAAAGCCCAGGGCTGCGGTGTGGAGGTGATGGTGAAGGGGGCATCGGTGGGGAGCGGAGCCAGAGCCTTCCCCCCCCAGCACCAGCCAGTGCCAGGGCATCTCTGACCCCAAACACAGGGACCTGGGGTGACAAAACTGCCCCTGGGAGTGCAGGGACCTGCAGGGCTCAGCCCCATCCTGGGGCAGCACGGGCACATACAGCCATCTAATGCACCCCGTAACACACACTGGGCACGCAGCACACCCCGACCAGCACCATGCACCACCAGCACCACGCCATATGCAGCAACACCCGCACAACACCCCAGTGCGAACAAACGCTGCCCAGTGTGCCCCATCACCTCTGCCACGGCAGGGGGACACCCGCTCTGCAACACCCCCTCTGCCTGTAACACAACCTCAACGTGTCGAACATGCCCTGCGTGTGTTGTGCACCCACCGTCACCCTCCGGGGAGGCTGACAGGGACCCCATGGCCACCGCCATGGGGTGGGACAACAGCCGCAAGCACCCATCACCGCTCCAACAACCGCAGCCTCCACCGGCACCCCCAGCCACGTCTCTGGTCCTGTGCGGTGCCAAGGGACGCACCAGCAGCTCAGTCTCTCCTCCCGCACGGGGAGGTCTGGGCTTATCCTTGTGCCCGGTCCCTCTGCCTGGTGACCAGCGAGGTTCCAGGGCCGGGGCATCACCTCTCCCTCCTGTTCCTTACGAGGAGACCCCGGCCCTTCACACGCAGCCACACTCCTTGGCCGAGAGCTCGTTGACGGTGTAGTAGCGGTTGTAGGCATCCAGGAAGGAGACGTCGTCGTCGTAAGCCAGCGGCCGGCAGCAGGGTCGCGCCCGGACCTTCTCCTTCTTGATCCTCCTCTTGCTCCTCATGCTCTTCAGCGAGAGGTCGTAGCTGCGCACGGCCGCCTCGCAGGTGCCGCTGCAGTACCGGAACAGCACCGTCTCGTCCGACTCGTAGCCCAGCCCCAGCTCACTGACGCTCACCTCCAGCTCCTTCAGCTCGCAGGGTTTGTGGCGAGCGCGGGCGCGCTTGCGGCGGCTGCCGGCGCGGGGGAACAGCGGCAGCTCGTGCCCACCCGAGTTCATGGCCTGGCTGTAGCGCTCCACCAGCGCCGCGATCAGCTGCCGGATCTCCCCCTCCGTGTAGCTCTCCAGCAGGCTGCTGTCTGCAAGGGAAGGGGTGCGCGTCAGTGGGGTGCCCCCCACCCTGCAGCTCCTCCATGGGATGGAGGTGGCTTAGGGCACGTGGGCAGCCCCCGCAGGCCCTCAGCGCCGTGGGGCAGTGGTAGCCTTGGCACTGTTGGACTTGATGCTCTTAAAGGTCTTTTCCAACCTGGTTCATTCTAGGATTCAATGGGGGTGGCCTGGGGCAGGTGGATGCTGCCCACATTGGAGGGCCCCAGGGCAGTGCCCGTCCCCTGTGCTGGTTCCCAGCAGCCGTCCTGAGGTGTGCATGAGACACCCCAAGGCTTTAAAACCCAAACCCCAAACCCTGAGGCCAGAGCTCCCCCGTGGCCTTGGGAGCCCCAGGGTGAAAAACCCCAAACTCCTTCCTCTCCTTTGCCTTTTCTTGCTTTATTTTCTTGTTTCCTCCCCTGCCTGGAGCTCTCCCAGACAGCCCCTTCCACTCCCAGCACAGCACAGAATCAGACTGCTTTGGGTTGGAAGCGACCTTAAAGCCCATCCAGTTCCAACCCCTGCCACGGGCAGGGACCCCTTCCACTGGAGCAGCTTGCTCCAAGCCCCTGTGTCCAACCTGGCCTTGAACACTGCCGGGGATGGGGCAGCCACAGTGATTTTGGGGACTTTTATTCCTTTTCCTTGCTAAAAATCAGCCAGAGTGTTTCCCTATGGCCTGGGTGGAAGATCTCCATCCCCCAACTTGCAAACTGTCCCCAGCCACCGCTGGCAGCATCCAAATCCCTTTATCCAAACGCTAAAGCTGGGGTTGGTCCAGCTCAGCGCCGGGGGAGGTGCAGGAAGGATGGAGGAAAGTGTAATTTAACAACTTGTCATCGATTCCCACGTTTCAGCCCCAAAAGAAGTTGTTCTGGTTTGGAAGGGGAACAGACACGCCGGGATGCTGAGCCGGCTGCCAGCACCGAGGGGGGAAGCTGCTGCCTCCCCGTGGAGCGGAGCCGTCCCCCTCGTGTTCAGCTCCCGTTTGACATGGAGCATGTGTCAAAATAGCACAGAAATATAGAAAAGAAATCCCCTAAAAATTAAAGAAAATAAAAAGCCGTTTGGTGCTAAAAAAGCAGCTTCTTCGCATTAAGATGAGCCGTTTGCATGCTCACGGTTTGGTGCCCAGCGCCTGCACCGCAGGACCCCCCGCTGCATCCCAAGCTCCTCCTTAACCATGCATAAAGGGGTGTGCAGAAGCAAGAGCAGGGAAAGAAACCAAGGGAATAAACCCTCTGGAGCGTTTCATTGTGAGCTGGAAGCGTGTCCCAATGGGAGTGTGGGGCCGGATGCTGTGGGATCAGGAGGGACGTGGCCCTGGTGCAGAGGTGCAGCAGCTTACATTGGGCGAGCAGCGAGCTGTGGCGTTGCAGGGCCCGTGGGGATCTCCGGGGAGCCACCGGCAGCGAGGAGGAGGAGGAGGATGAAGAGGAGGATGATGCCCGTGAGGAAGACGGCGAGGAAGGCAAGGGGCTGTATTTCCGGCTTCCGTTGAACATGTCTCTACAAACTAAAATGGATAACATGGAACTGAGGAGCATCGATGCAATGGCTGCAAACTTCCATACCTTCATCTTAGAGCAAGTCAGAACATTGAAACTCTGCAAAACAGGCAAAACAAATATCCTTATTACGTGGCCTTCACCCACGGCCCCTCTTCCCACCCCGCATCCCCACGGCTTGGACTGGATGACCATCTCCCATGGGACCACCAGCATCCCCTTGGCTCCATCTCATCCCCTCTGCCCTCCTGAGACTGGAGCAGTGTTGATGTAGGGAAACTGAGGCATGGAGATAGGGCTGTGCTGCAGAGGGGGAATTGGCCACGGCAGGTGAGGGTGGCCTGGGGCCAGTGGTGGCAAAGGGACAAGGGGGTGCCCTCAGCCACGCCACACAGCCTGGCCAGGCAGGTTGATCTCTAGTGGAAGGTGTTGGAACTGGATGAGCTTTAAGGTCCCTTCCAACCCAAATCATTCCATGATATCCACCTCCCCTGGCTCCAGCCAAGTTTCCTCACACCAGGGGCTGGTATCACAGTGGAAGGGAAAAAGGACGGGCAAACTCAAGTCACCCCAGCCCGTGACACCTCTTTGCCTTGTACATCCCCTCCTTGGGACGTGGTGAGCAGTGTAAGGAGCCCCAGCTCCATCGTCCTTCCTCCTCCTCAGAGAGCCCCGATGTGCTTTGGTGTCCCGGCCATCCTCCCACCCAGATGCTCAACCAGAGCCCAAATCCCTCCCCGCTGGCACAGGGACACGGCAGCTCCATCCAACCCAGCCAAAATCATGACAACCTCAGGAAGAAGTGAATGGGATGCCTGGAGCATCCCAGCACGGCTGCAAGGCTTCTGGTGGGACCTCAGCCATGCAGAACATCCAGTGCAGCCCAGCCTGGTTTCTCAAAGCATAAAGGAACCCCACTGGCATTCCCCTCACAGGCAAAGTGCACCCTTACCTTGCACCATTCCATTTCCTCCATCCAAAGCAGGTTGGATCTGGTGGGATTTTACAACTGACCTTGCAGCCAGGCAGGGCAGCAGGGAATGGGGTCGGTGCTCCCATCAATGGGCTGTCAGGCATTAAATCCCCATCAAAGACACTCTGGAAGCTGCACCGACTTGCAGCTGCCTCCCGGCCCCTTGTTTGATTCCAGCTCCTTACAAACTCCAAACATTTTCCCCTTTTCAAATAAATTTTCCACCAGGGGAAAAAAAAAAAAGAAAAGAAAACCACAAAAAGCGGCCCCGGTTCAGCAATTTTTTGCCAAACAGAATTTACCAACAGGGGAAAAAAAATGTTTATTTCCAAATGGGATCTGACAGGTTCCTGCTCTTGAAGAACACAAGGAGGGCTGGGAACGCCGCCTCCTTGCCAGCAAGCCTTTCTTTGACAGGATGCAGCTAATTGCACATTAGCTAACAGTGATTATCTGCCCTGTAGGTTGCAAGGTAATTGTAGAACCCAGCCAGAGCCTAAATATTTTCAACTATAAACAATGCCAAGCTGGGAAAAGAATAGTTTCACCATATAAGGAGCTCAGACCATGCGATCCCGACGGGAACACGGCGGCGGAGCTGGAGGAGATAAGCACCGGCAGCACCAGGTCAGAGCCTGCAGCCGGCTCGTGGGAAGCATCGGGAGCACCAGGAATGGGGCTGGGATGCTCCCATCCCTGTCTCCTCCTGCAGAGCCAAGGAGGAGCTGGCTGCCCCATCCAGAAGGTGCGAGGGGGGTGATGGAGGCGCTGGGTGTGTTGGTACCTACGTCCATCATTGTAATGAGATGAGCTCTGAGGCAGAAGCTCTTCCCTGTGAGGGTGCTGAGGCGCTGGCACAGGGTGCCCAGAGAAGCTGTGGCTGCCCCATCCCTGGCAGTGTTCAAGGCCAGGTTGGACACAGGGGCTTGGAGCAAGCTGCTCCAGTGGAAGGGGTCCCTGCTGTGGCAGGGGTTGGAGCTGGAGGAGCTTTAAGGTCCCTTCAACCCAAACCAGTCCGGGGTTCTGGGATTCTATGAATTGGGTGCCTTAAATTCAGATTTCTCCTCTGAGATTAGAGCAGGAGCGGGGAAAAGGCACTGAAAACGCTCACCAGCATCAAACGGCTCCCAGCAAGGCAGAGGGGATGGGTGCCAAAAGGGAAAGGCCTGAGGAAGCTGCAGTTTGCTCTTGGGGACCTGGTGACAGCTCAGGAATGAAGGACGAGAGAAGGACCAGCAGCCCCGGGTGATGCAGATGCAGGGGTTTGGGCGGTGGGAAGGGACCCGCTCGCAGTGCTGCTGGATGGGAGGACAAGCAGCTTTTGGCAGCGGATGTTTGGGCGTTCTGGGAGGTGAATACCGTGGTGGACAACCAGGATGGGATCACACATGGCCTGGACCTTCATCAGCACCTCCTGAGCTGCTCAGGGCTGCGCCGGGGAGGGAAGGGCTGCGACCTTCAACCCATCCACCTGAGAAAGTGCCTCTGGCTCATTGCAAGCCCATAAAACGTTAGCAGAGCGGTGTCAGCCCTGCTGCACCTCCCATAAAAGAGGCTGCTATTCCAGCAGCCAGGCAGCCTGGCCCCCACCCATCGCCAGTGACCTTTCAAAAGGCTGAAATCCCGGCTCCAGCACTCAAAACAATATCAAGACTCCCAACATTCCAGGCTTTGCCTTTGGTTTCTCTTGCTCTAAAAAGCCTCAGACCACGTGTGCCAACCTGCGGTGAGAGCTGAAGGGGAAAGGAAAAACACACACAAAGAGAGGCATCGGAGCCGTGACTCAGCCGGGATGATGCCGGAGCTGCCCTCTCCCATCTTTCTGCTTTCCACATAGCTCAAACCTGCTCCCAGCGATGATAAATGATCACAGGGGGTTCGAGGCATGGGGCACTGGTTGCTGCCAACACATCCTGGGATGGACCCAGGGATTCTCCCTGGCTCCATGAAGGGCTGAAGTCTCCACCACCTGCCCCGCTCTCATCCCTACCCAGGGCTCGCTGCTTCCCAAGCAGAGCAGAAACCACCCTGTGTCCTGGAGAACTGGAAACCCAAGGGAAAAGGAACCAACAGCAGCACGGCCAATTCCTGTCTCTTAGTCAGGAGGGAGCAAGTTGATTGTCTTGGCAGCCCCCTCCATGCCCCTCTCAGCTTTCCTTTCGAAGGGATCCAACGAATCCACCCCACACCCTAAGGAAACTCTTCCAAGCCTCACTCTTCAGCAGGAATCCCATTCAATAAACTCGGATCAATCCAGTCTTGTTTCCGGTTTTCTTCACTTCAGCGCTCCAGTGCCAGCATTTCCACTGCTTTTTCCTGCTAAATCCAAACGCAGGGACCCCTTCCCTGCGGATGCGTTGCCTTTGCTCACAAACCCCGAGCATCTTGGGCTTCTCGGACTTCCCTCACTGCTCACACCCTCAGTTTTTCTCATCGCTCTTTTCTAACCCATTCCTCATGCTACAAGCAGGATTTGCTCCCAGTATGCACTGACTTGAAGCCTCAACTCCTTGAGTCATGGGATGACGAGGGGAAAGCAGAGATTTCCCTTTCGTACCCTTCTTGCTTGGGGGGAGAAGGAGGAGACGTGAAAACCCTCAGCCCTGATGCATCAAAGCCCAGGGACCAAGAGAACCCAAAAGACATTATATCCTAAGTAAGTGTGCCATAAATTTGCAGCAGATTCATGCTTCCGGGCACTGATTTATTACCTTCAAGCACTTGGTCTCAGCCACGCTGTGCAAGAATGGAGGAGGCCATGGAGTGGCCGAGGGCTTTTTGGCACCACAAAAGCACTTGGAAAGACGAAGGCCTTGACGGGACATCAGAGAGAGCTTCCACCTGCCACACACTGTTTATTTGAGTGCCTTACATGGGAGCCAAGCTGCTTTGAAATCCCGGCTCCTCATGACTCATCCCGCTGGAATTAAACAATTTCCATCCAGGCTCTTGGGCAAGCAGCTCCAGAGGCTGCTGCAAAGTGGCTCCTCCAGCTCAAAGCCTGCTCCGAGGATGGTCGGAGGGGACAGGGATGGTGGAAAGTACCCAAGCAGGGCTCATTGCAAGCTCCTGACATGCTCTGGTGGGAGTTGAGCCCCCCAAAGAGCATCAGTGTGTTTGACGCCCCCAACCAGGGTGGATGCTGCACCGCGGGTACCAGAGCCTGCAGCGGGATGCCCCGGGGTCAAACCAGCCCCAAAATGGCAAAACTGGCCCCAAAGTGGGGAGTGCTGAAAGGGAAAAGCAGCCCCAGAGCCGGGTCTGAGTTGAATTGAGGTTTCCCTCTCCAGCTCTGCTCCAGGGGTGATTCCTGGGGCACTCAGAGCCGCAATCCCAGTGCAGGCGTTCCCTTGGCTGGCGACACAGGGCAGCAGCAGCCGGGTCCCCGCTGGCTGCTCTCCCACAGCCCCGTGCTTTGCACGCCAAAGGCACTGATGGCCAATGGCACATCCCACATCCCACAGCCCTGCTCATCCCTGCCCTTCCTTCTTCCCCTCCCCAGCTCTTCCCGCTCCCCCATAAGCAAAACCAGAGCCGCGCACGGGACACATGGTTCTGCTTTGCCTAAGTGAAAACCAGCCCACGATGAGAAACTCCAAAGCTCTTCCCGCAGCCCCGGTCCCCTCCCGAAAGAGCCCACCACAAACAAGCCAGACCCCGATCCCTGGGCCACGGCCACAGCCTGGATCCCCTGGGAATTCCTCTTGGGGTGACCACCGAACCCCATCCCGGTGAGGAAACGGAGCCGCTCCCGGCCCCATGGGATGGCGGAGGGGGAGAAGGGGCCATGGTGGGGTGGGGGGGAGCATCCGCATTCCCGGGATGCGGGGAGCCCCTCGGCTGACACGCCAACCCCCGGGAAGCTGCGCCGTTCCCACGCTGACATGACATTTACATTGGGGCTGAATTACGGCGCATTGGGTTTACAGCCCTGCAAACAGCTTTAGGGGGGAGGACCCCCCCCCCAGAACCAAAGCACAGCCCCAGCACCACGAGGGAAATGAGGAGAGACATCAGATTTGGGGGCTTTGCCACAGCCGGAATGCTGCATGCCAACGTGAGCTCCGGAGCTGCAGAGCCCCCATCAGATGGAGCAGCCCCCGTCCATACCCCACTATTGTCCCCATTTCAGGCTCCAGAGAGTTAAAGCAGCTCAAAGGGAGATGGCACCGGGAGGTGGCAGGGATTTCAGGTACCTCAACTCATCCCACATCCCAAGGCACCTCTGGGGATGTGCCTCACTGGAGGGCATCATCTCCTCCCCATGGGCTGGAGAGCTGGGAGTGAGCAGGCACGAGACCCCCGGCAGCCCCCACAGCATGGCCAGTGCCCAGTGCCAAGGAGGAGATGCCCT